TTCAGAGTGCTGAAGTATGATACTGGGATACTGTCCCTGTGGGATACTGGGTTCTTTGGGAGTTCCTCCTGAGGGGCAACCTGGGGCTTGTCTTCCTCTAGTGACCTAACTGTGCTGTGCTTGCCAGTTACAGCCATGTGGTCTTGGGGCATGGGCGTCTTCACTGCAACGAAACGATGAAATGTCTTGTTCTTAAGTAACCCCTGTTGGCTTATGAGCCATTTCATTTGCTTAACAATCCAGCTTCACATTAGGTTATGCATGCAAGCTACCCATCCTCCTAATGAGATGTTCTTTTGATACAGCCATAGGCTTTGACAGGATTGGCCCAAGGAAGAGGTATCTTGGCCGTGCTCATAAAATAGTGTCCCATGCCCATATGTGGTGGTGGATGATGGTCCCATCCACAGTGCCTGTTGAAAGAGGATTGGATTCTTTCTGGCATTTCCATATAGACATATTTGGAATTTGGTGTTAGTAGCTGACAACATCAGACGTACGCAGTTATCCTGATGAAATAACTTTGTGCATCTGATGTTGTCAGTCAGTTACTAACACCAAAAATGGTAAGAAGATTATTACCGAGTCCCCATTTAGAAGGAAATCCAAGATGCTCACTCACCCAGATTCTCTGGACAGGAATTTAGGCTTTTGGATGGAACTGCCTACTGTTTTGAACAGAAGAGCAACAGGTAGATTGATAGTTCCTGGAGTATGGTTGATTTTGGAACACAAAGAGTTTAAGAAGGGAAATAGGGAAGCAGAACTGGGAGAATAACATACAAGTTATGGCAGGTGGACAAGGATATCTCAAAACTTGAGTTGAGGCTGGCAGATATGAAGAAAATGTCCATAACTCTGTGTGGAGGGGATTGCATATGATGCCTACATGCATCAGAGGAAGCCTAGCCATACTGGTTACCTTCTGCTTCTGTGTCTTGGGTCTTTCTAGTAGGAATATGGCATAACTGTAACCAGTTTCAGAGAGTTGCTACATGAGGCAGGTTTGTGGGGGCTATGCCTGATTGCAGCCCTTCTCAAGGCATCTTTTCTTTTCTTTCTTTTTTGAGATGGAGTCTCCCTCTGTCGCCAGGCTGGGGTGCAGTGGGGCCATCTTGGTTCACTGCAATCCCCGCCTCCTTCAAGTGATTCCCCTGCCTCAGCCTCCTGAGTAGCTGGGGTTACAGGTGCGCACCACCACATCTCAGGGCACCTTTTCTTTGCACAGCTGTAACCAATGGACAATAGGCTGCAAAATCTCTCTGCACTTCCCTTTGGCACACTGATAAGACGAAGTGTGACACACCTGACTTAAGTGGGGAGGGTGAGGCGCATCAATATGAGGCACTAAGCCAGTCAGAGCCTGCTCCGGGAATTTGAATTGAGATAGGCAGAAATGTTCTGGTTGCTGGTGGGCTCTAAATCTGAGAAACAATGACTCAGAGCTGGGACTGGTAGTCATCGCTTAAGAAGAGCACACAGATGAGACTGATTTAAGTAGGAGCGACGAATGGAGTCAGCATACAGAGATGCCTCTTGTGCTCCAGCTCCTGGTTCCAGTGTCCATGAGGCCTGAATACACATTGTTTCCTGTTCTTGAATTCCCTGTAATCGCTGTACCCTTGTAGTTATGCCCCCTTTTCCCAAGAGCCGATTCGACGGGGCTTCTCTTCTTTGTGACCAAAAGACCATTGACTAGAACAGATGTTGAGAACATGATCAGTGTGACAGCTGCTAGTACAGAATGCAGCCTGATGAACCACTCAGCAGGCCAGGGTGACTACAATTGCATGTGTGTGTGTATGTTTAGGGGGAGGGGTGTTAAATCACTAGAGATGAAAGGATCCCCCCCATCCCCCACATAACCATCTTCTCTTTCTTGTCTTAGTTCCTTGGCTGCTCTCCATCTCCTGGCCCCAGCTGCTAAGAGCTATTTCTAGATAAAGTCAGCAAAGACTCTGTTTCTAAGACTCTGAGTCCAGAATCCCCTGCTCAGGAATGTCCCCTCTGCCCTCATCACCTGCACTCCTCTCTCCCTTTCTCTGTATCACCTCTTCACCTATGGAATTGTCTTATCCCTCAGGGTCTTTTGACATTTTGAGAAAATGAAGTGGAACATTAAACTCCTATAGCAGTGTCTTTCTCTGGTGGGGGTTGGGCAGCAGGGAGCAGCTCTCTGCAAGGACTTCATGTCTCCTCCACCAGGAAGCTCCGATCCTGAGCTCCATCCTGGGTAAAACTCTTCCAAGCTCCAGGGTCTTCCCAAATTCAGACAAATTTGGGTCAAGGTTGCACAGTCTGTGTCTGTAGGTGGGATGGTAAGATGAGTGCACAGGGATTGGAAGGGGGCAGAGGGCCCAGCTATCCTCACTTCAGTCACGGCGGTCATCGGGAAGGTACTGTTGTCATAAATTCAGCCATTGGTGCAGGGCTCTATGGCCCCATGTTGTTGGCCTCTGTGCCATTAGGAAAAGGTGGTCCCCATTGGGAGGAGATGAAGTGGAGGCAGGACTGAGGCCACACCTGCCAGTCTTGGGACAGCCAAGCCTCCAGCCACCTGTTCTTCTTGAGGTTGGCATTGGCAGGTAGGGGCGGCAGGGGTTGGGTGGGGAGAGGCAGTGTCAGTGAAGTTTTGTAGAGTAGTGTGCAAACATAGGAGGAGCAGGCAGAGGACCACCAGGGTGACTTGGATCTGCTGGAAGTGGCTGACACCCCCCATTTGCTGTAGGAAGTCATTGAAAGCCATGGAACTGGGCCTGGTCAAGTGGCTGGGGAGCTGGGTCTCCCACTCGAGCAATCTGTCTCTTCCCGTGCAGTGGGAAGAGAGAGGCTGCCTTTGTCTCCTGCACTCATCAATTTCTGGGTCTGCTATAGTCCTAGGCCTCCTGATGGCCAGCAGTAGTTTTTTGTTTTTGAGACACAGTTTCACTCTTGTTGAGCAGGCTGAAGTGTAATGGCACAATCTCAGCTCACTGCAACCTCTGCCTCCCAGGTTCAAGTGATTCTCCTCTCTCAGCCTTCCTAGTAGCTGAGATTATAGGCACCCACTACCATGCCTGGCTGATTTTTGTATTTTTAGTAGAGATGGGGGTTTTACCACATTGGCCAGGCTGGTCTCAAACCCCTGACCTCAGGTGATCCGCCCACCTCGGCCTCCCAAAGTGCTAGGATCACAGGCATGAGCCACCACGCCCAGACAGTAGTTGTTTTTTTTTTTTTTTAATAACGTCTTTTGAAGCACCAAGTTAAACTGACTCGAGAGTAGGACATTTAATTATAAGACTCATCTGGTCAATGGTCTGTTCCAGGAGGTCCAATGGGCAAGTAAAGTTGGATCAGGCAGAGGAAAGGCCCTTCCTCTGAAGGAGGGACATGTGTGAGTCTCTCTACCACCCTGGAACAGGTGGGGAGGAAGGGGAAGCACCGAGGGTGAAGGGGAAGCACCGAGGGTGAAGGGGGTGTGAGCATGAAGCCTGATCTGAGCTTTCCTTCTCAGGGCTGGGTCCTACCTCTCTGAGCCAGACTGAACTGGGGAGACTCTGAAGAGCCCATGCAGAAATGCCATGGGGTGTGGGCCTCAGCATCCCCTAACCTGTGAGCATCCCCTCTGCGTGAATCCTGGAGCCTGGGCCTTCAGCGCTTGACAAGGGCCAGGCCACAGCTTAACCTCTTGAAGGAGGAATTCTTTGTTAGAGGTTTGTGTTAGCAGGGTCTCTTTTCTTGAATTGTTTTTTTTTGAGACAGAGTCTCGCTTGGTTGCCCAGTTTGGAGCGCAGTGGTGTGATCTTGGCTCACTGCAACCTCCGCCTCCTGGGTTCAAGCAATTCTCCTGCCTCAGCCTCCTGAGTAGCTGGGATTACAGGCCCACACCACCAGGCCCAGCTAATTTTTGTTATTTTAGTAGAGACCAGGTTTCACCATGTTGGCCAGGATGGTCTCGATCTCCTGACTTCCTGATCCGCCCTCCTTGGCCCCTCAAAGTGCTGGGATTACAGGCATGAGCCATGTCGCCCAGAGTCTTTTCTCATTATAATATCCTCTCTAATCCACTCTCATTTTTTCCCCCTTCCCAGAATTGTACTTATATATGTGACACAATAAACAGCCATCAGAATGGGCCGTTATAACATTCTTCAAGGGTCTGGGCATACTGGGGTCTGCACCATGAACAGGGCCCAGGTGAAACCAGGTATTCTGACATCTTGGCCCCAGTTATGGACTGAATTGTCCCCCTCATTCATACGTTGAAGCCCTAACCCCCAATGTAACTATATTTGGACATAGGGCCTTTAAGGAGGTAATTAAGGTTAAATAAAGTCATGGGGTGGGGCCCTAATCCAGTGTGACTGGTGTCCTTACAAGAAGAGTGACAGCAGCAGGGTGGGACGCACGTGCACAGAGGAAAGGCCATATGAGGACAGTGGGAAGACGGCCATCTGCAAGCCAAAGAGAGGCCTCAGGAGAAACCAAACCTGCTGACAGCTTGATTGTGGACTTCTAGCCTCCAGAACTGTGAGAAAATACATTTCTGTGGTTTTCAGCCACCCAGTCTGTGGTGTTTTGTTATGGCAGCCCAAGGCTGTCACTTATATCTGTAATGTAACACAATTCTAGCCAAGAAAAGTGGCAGGAAGCCCATTGTGGGGGAGGTGGCTTTTGGGAAAGGTCTTCAGAAGAGATGTCTTGCTCTTCCAAACAGATGTGTGAGGACTGATATCCTTTTCTGCCTTTGGATGCTGTGTGAGGGGTGATGCCTGTAGCCCTGGCAGCCCTCTTGCTGTCATGAGGGGAGTCATTGACCTGCTGGGAGAGGGTTGAAAGAACCTGGATCCATGATGATGTCAGGTGCCTGAATCATGGAAGCCAGCAAATCTGTGTGTGTATGTGTGTGTGTGTGTATTTTTTTTTTTTTTTTTTTTTTTTTGCTTAAGCAAGTTAGAGTTTTGTGTCACTTGCAACTGAAAGACTCCTGGCTAATACGTCCATCATAAGAGCCGTAACCTAGGCTGGGCTCGATGGTTCATGCCTGTAATCCCAGCACTTTGGGAGGCTGAGGCATGTGGATCATGATGAGGTCAGGAGTCTGAGACCAGCCTCGCCAACATAGTGAAACCCTGTCTCTACTAAAAATACAAAAAATTACCTGGGCATGGTGGCGGGCACCTGTAATCCCAGATATTCGGGAGGCCGAGGCAAGAGAATTGCCTGAACTCAGGAGGTGGAGGTGGATCGCGCCACTGCACTCCAGCCTGGGCAGCAGTGGGAAATTCTCTCTCAAAAAAGAAAACAAAAGAGATATCCCAGAGTTCCGCGGGCCGCCAGCCCTTCCGCCACGGCCGCCATTGGAGAGCAGAAGCCATGGCTCTTTGCTACCCTGCGGCTGTGGGCCTCAACAAAGGCCACAAGGTAACCAAGAACGTGAGCAAACCCAGGCACAGCCGTCTCCGCGGGCGTCCGACCAAACACACCGGGTTCGTGCGGGACATGGTCGGGGAGGTGTGCGGCTTCGCCCCGTATGAGCGGTGCGCCGTGGAGTTACTGAAGGACTCCAAGGACAAACGGGCCCTCAAGTTAAAAGAAGGGTGGGGACACAGCTGCGCCAGGAGGAAGCGGGAGGAGCTGAGCAATGTCCCTGCCGCCATGAGGAAAGGCGCTGCCAAGAAAGACTGAGCCCTCGTCCCTGCCCTCTCCCTGAAATAAAGAACAGCTTGACCCCCCAAAACAAAAACAAAACAAACAAAAAGAGCTATAACCTGGAAGCACAGGGAACACCGACGCCGGTGAAGCCTCTTAGGCTGAGTGGTGACAGAATGGCCGTATTAGTCAGGGTTGTTCCGTGTGAACAACAGAAGCAGACTGCGGCTAATGTAAGCTGTAGAAAAATCATGGAAGGGTAATGGGTTGCTCATGGAATTGATGCGGAGGTCAGAGAATCTGGCTCAGAAATGGGCAGGAGCTGAGGGAGGCCGGGAAACAGGCTAGGACGCCCCTGGAGTGTTACTTGGGTGTTTCCATTCCTCCCTGGACCCTCACTGTCATTACTATTGTGCGTAATTTCCCAAATGTTGCGTTAGCTTTGTGTTTTTTCACAAGAGTCAAGGCCTTAGGTGGGAATCCTGACTAGCTAGCTGACCACGGTTCTGCACCTGAGTAAAACTTTATTAGGGTTTAGCATATGCAATAAAATGCATCGATTTTGGGGGTGCATTTTGACAAGCTCTGACAATTATTATTTTTTTAAACAGAGTCTCACTGTATTGCCCAGGCTGGAGTGCAGTGGTGTGATCTCGGCTCACTGCAATGTCTGCCTCCTGGGTTCAAGAGATTTTCCTGCCTCAGCCTTCTGACTAGCTGGTACTACAGGTGTGAGCCACCATGCCCGGTTAATTTTTATATTTTTAGTAGAGACAGGGTTTCACTATATTGGCCAGGCTGGTCTCAAACTCCTGACCTCAGGTGATCCACCTGCCCCGGCCTCCCAAAGTGGTGCAACTCTGACAAATTTTTATACCACATAACCATTGTATAGAACATTTTCATTTCCTGGCTCTCCCACCCCAGCAATTCCCTAGTACTGCGCCCCAGCCAATTCTCATCTTCTATCCTAGGCAGTTGATTTGTCTTTTCTGGAGTTTCAAATGAATGGTATCATACAGTATATCGTCTTTTGTGTCTGGCTTCTTTTGCTCAGCAAAATGTTTTGAGATTCATCCACCTGGTAGTGTGCCAATAGTTTATTCCTTTTTTTTTTTTGAGACAGAGTCTCCCTCTGTTGCCAGGGCTGGAGTGCAGTGGTGTGATCTCGACTCAACACGGCCTCTACCTCCTGGGTTTTTCGTGCCTCAGCCTCCCGAGTAGCTGCGATTACAGGCACGTGCCACCACACTCAGCTAATTTTTGTAATTAGTAAAGATGAGGTTTCACCTTGTTGGCTAGGATAGTCTCATGATCCACCCACCTTGGCCTCCTAAAGTGCTGGATTATAGGCATGAGCCACCATGCCCGACCGAGTTCATTCCTTTTTAATACTGAACAGTATTGCATTGTATGTATAAGCACAGTTTGCTTATTCATTCACCTGTTGATGAACATTTGTGTTGTTTCCAGTTTTTGGCTGTTATAAAGAAAGCTGCCATGAACATTTGTGTATAGTGAGGGGAAATATACTTTTATATCTCTTGGGTAAATACCCAGAAGTGGAATTGCTGGGTCATATATTTAACTTTATCAGAAACTGTCAAATTGTTTTTCAAAGTGTTTCCAACTTTTACATTTCTACCACCAGTGGATGAGCGTTCCAGTTATTTCACATTCTTGCCAACATCCTTGTATGACCAGTCTTTTACATTTCAGCCATTTATTATTTTATTATTTATTTATTTTTTGAAACTGAGTCTTGCTCTGTCACCAGGCTGGAGTGTAGTGGCGTAATCTTGGCTCACTGCACCTTTGGCCTCCTGGGTTCAAGCAATTCTGCCTCAGCCTCCCGAGTAGCTAGGATTACAGGAGCCTACCACTGTATCCAGCTAAATTTTCTTTTTTGTATTTTTAGTAGAGACAGGGTTTCACCATTTTGGTCAGGCTGGTCTCAAACTCCTGACCTTGTGATCTGCCCACCTCAGCCTCCCAAAGTGCTGGGATTACAGGTGTGAGCCACCATGTTCATATATTTTAGCCATTTATATGACTATGAAGTGACTTGACATCTCAATGTGGTCTAACTTGCATTTTCCTGATGACTAGTGATGTTGAGCATTTTTTCATGTGCCTATTGGCTATTCATATATCTTTCGTGGTGAAGTATGTGTGTAATTTTTTTTTTTTTAGATGTTGTCTTGCTCTATCACCCAGGCTGGAGTGCAGTGGTGTGATCTTGTCTCACTGCAACCTCCGCCTCCCAGGTTCAAGTAATTCTCTTGCCTCAGCCTCCAAGCAGCTGGGACTACAGGCACATGCCACCACACCCAGCTAATTTTTTGTATTTTTAGTAGAGAAGGGGTTCACCATATTGGCCAGGCTGGTCTCCAACTCCTGACCTCAGGCAATCTGCCCGCCTCGGCCTCCCAAAGTGCTGGAATTACAGGCATGAGCCACTGCGCTTGGCCTACATGTGTAATTTTTTGGCCTATATTTGAATTGGAGTGTTTGACTTCTTTTTATTGAGTTGTAGGAGTACTTTTTATATTCTGCAGATCTGTTTGCATAGCTCTCTCCACTCCTGAGAAATCTAGCTGCCTTGGCCATCCTGAACTTCTCTTTTGTTCTCCTCAGCTCAGTGAGGTTGCCTGGCTCTGTTTGGATTCCACTTATCCACATTGCAGTCCAGAATTTGCTTCCAGGAAGAAGGCCTGGGTGATAAAAGTTGGTGGAAAAGTAATTGCGGGTTTTACAATGGAAAGTAATGACAAAAACCACAATTACTTTTGCATCAACTTAATAGTAGATCTTAAATGTTTCCCTTCTCACAGAAATTACAGTCCTGCGCTGCCTGTTGTCCAATGTCTGAACATTGTTATTTTCCACATTTCCCTCAGTTTTCTCTTTTCTTTTCTTTCTTTCTTTCTTTTTTTTTTTACAGTTGGAGAGTTGTTTTGGAAGTTTATTTCCTGATGACTGAAACTTCCTTTTCCATTCTGAATGCATTTAAAACAGCAGTGTTCCTTGTACAATTGAAAGTGTCTTTCTTCCTCTCTAAAGGGGGTTGCTGAGTAGCGAGTAGAGGGAGAAACTTCCATTCTTCTGGCTTCTTGTTTCCTTATGGAATAAGGAGTGGGTTATTTGGTGAATTTGGGAGAAGGAATAGGGCATGTATAGCTATGTTCTTCTTCCTTTCTTTTGGGCATGTGTTTTTTTAATTGTTTTTGACCATGTAGTAAGGTATTTGACTGCTGTGTCTCTCAACTGGTGAAGAAGAGATGATTTTTTTTTGTTTGTTTTTTGAGACAGGGTCTCACTTTATCATCCAGGTTGGAATGCAGCAGCATGATCATGGCTCAGTAAAGCCTTGACCTCCTGAGCTCAAGCCATCCTGCCACTCAACCTCCACGTAGCTGTGCTACTGAAAAGGAGTCCTGATCCAGACCCCAAAAGAGAGTTCTTGGACCTTACACAAGAAAGAATTTCAGGTGAGTTCATAGGATAAAGTAAAAGCAATTTTATTGGAGAAATAAAGAAACAAAAGAATGGCTACTCCATAGGCAGAAAAGCCCCGAGGGCTGCTGATTTTCTATTCTTATGGTTATTTCTTGATTGCATGCTGAACAAGGGATGGATTATTCATGAGTTTTCTAGGAAAGGGGCTGGCAATTCCCAGAACTGAGGGTTCCTCCCCTTTTTAGACTCTATAGCGTACCAGCTGGGTTGCCATGGCATTTGTAAACTGTGCTGGTGGGAGTGTCTTTTAGCGTACTAATACATTATAGTTAATTAGCATATAATGGGCAGTGAGGGTGACCAGAGGTCACTTTCATTGCCATCTTGGTTTTGGTGGGTTTTGGTGGCTTCTCTACTGCATCCTATTTTATTAGCAGGGTCTTTGTGACCTGTATCTTGTGATACCAATTCTGCCGAACTACAGTAAGGCTGAGACCTACTGGGCCCTATTCTCAGAAGGTTAGGCTTTCTTAATCACAGGATGAGAAAGCCTAACCTTCTGAGAATAGGGCCCAGTAGGCCTCAGCCTTACTTTACCCAGCCCCTATTAAAGATGGAGTTGCTCTGGTTTGAATGCCTCTGACAGATGGAACCACAGGCACATGCCACCACACTTGGCTAATTTTTAAATTTATTGTGGAGATGGGGTCTCACTATATTGCCCATCCGGTCTTAAAGTCCTAGGCTCAAGCGATCTTCCTGTCTTGGCCTTTCAAAATGCTGGGATTATAGGTATGGGCTACCATGCATAGCAAAGATGGTTGAATGTTTTGATGGTTTATTGTGCCCAGCTCCAAGTTAAGGACTTCTGAGTTATGTCTTCTTCTTTAGTTTTGTTGCAATGCCATTGTTATGCTATGCATAGAAATCAGAAAATACTGTCTTTTTATTTTTTATTTTTTTAAAGATGGGTTTTCACCATGTTGGTCAGGCTGGTCTTGAACTCCCAACCTCAGGTGATCCGCCCGCCTTGGCCTCTAAAGTGCTTGGATTACAGGCCTGAGCCACCACACCCGGCCAATATTGTCTTTAATTCTTTTTTTTTTTTTTTTTTTGAGGTGAAGTTTCGCTCTTGTTGCTGAGACTAGAGTGCAATGGCTCAATCTCAGCTCACCGAAACCTCTGCCTTCCGGGTTCAAGCAATTCTCTTGCTTCAGCCTCCTAAGTAGCTTGGATTACAGGCATGCACCACCATGCCTGGCTAATTTTTTTTTTTTTTTTGTATTTTTAGTAGAGATAGAGTTTCTCCATGTTGGTTAGGCTGGTCTTGAACTCCTGACCTCAGGTGATCCGCCTGCCTTGGCCTTCCAAAGTGCTGAGATTACAGGCGTGAGCCACTGTGCTGGGCCTGTTGTCTTTAATGTCTTCAATCTTTTCTGTTTATGGAAATGTTTCGGCAAGAAGTCATGGGACTACAATAATATATCAGTTGTTAGGATTCTGCTTCCAACCAAGATGGAGGAACAGGGACTAGTAAATAGTAAATACTCTCCTGCCTTAAACTAATTAAAAAAAACTGACAAATTAGGTTTGTATGGTAACTGTTTTTACACATTGGACCATAGGCAGCTTAGGACAGTTGTTCCTGAGAGAGGGAAACAAACAGAATGAGCCTTATGAACCAGTTTACTTCCTGGAGAAACTTTGCAGGCTGCAGAACAGGGAGAGGGGATCTACTCAGAGCCCAGAAGGCTCCCTGACTTGAGGAAACAAAGTTGGGAGTCTGGGGAGGCCCAGATGGCTAGAGTTCACAGGGCAGAGGACTGGAGAGAGAGAGAGCTGCATAGAACACTGGAGATTTGTAGGGGGGTTTGTTATTGATAGACTCTTCAGCTGAGTATTGGTTGATGCATACACTTGGGGAAAGAACCTAGATGATTCACAAAGTTCACACAGGCCAGGAACAGTTTATCTTTCCACCAGCCACAGTGAAGACAAAACCCATAGTATTCAGGGCATTGGGTAGAGAACTTGGCAAGATCACTTGAGAGGAAAAATTAGCAGCACCACTGCTCTCACCTAACAAAGCCTAAAAGCAAGCCTTGAAAGGGAACTCATTGTGACCCAGAAAAAAGTTCAAAATGACCGGGTGTGGTGGCTCATGCCTGTCCCAGCACTTTGGGAGGCCAAGGCAGGCAGATCACGTGGGGTCAGGAGTTCGAGACCAACCTGGCCAACATAGGGTGAAACCCTGTCTCTACTAAAAAATACAACAATTAGCTGGGTGTGGTGGTGCACACCGGTAGTCCCAGCTACTTGAGAAGGTGAGGCAGGAGAATCCCTTGAACCCAGGAGGTGGAGGTTGAAGTGAGCTGAGATTGCATCACGGCAGTCCAGCCTGGGCAAGACAACAAAAAAGAAACCAAAAAAAAAAAAAAAAGAAAAAGACAAGAAAAAAAGTTCAAAATAAAAACTACAGATTCAGATCCAAGAGGGTAAATTAACTCTGATATGATGGTATTATAAAACCTACAAAGTGCATCATAATCAAATGCTTAGAACCAGGGATAAAGAGAAAATCTTGCCTGCAAACAGCTGGAGGGAAAAAAAGATACATTAGTATAAAGCAAAAAAGATAAGAATAGCAGCAGATTTCTTGTCCAAAATGATATAAGCCAGAAGACAATGGAGAAATATCTTTAAAATGCTGAAAGAGAAAATCTGTCAACCTAAAACTTTCTACCGGCAAAAATATCTTTTAAAAATGATAATAGAATCAGTAACTTTTTAGGCATACATAAGTTGAAAGAACACAGCAGTAACAGAACTGCACTGCAAGAAATGTTAAACAAAATTAAATTTGTGCTTAAAAACGACCCCACAAAGAGATTCCAGGAACATATGACTTAACGGATTAATTCTGTCAAACATTTAAGGAAGAAATCATACCAATTCTATATGAGCACCTACAGCAAGGTGAAAAGTAGGGAATACTCCACAACTCATTCTATGAGGCTGAAATTACCCTGATACTAAAACCAGACAAAACATTATAAAAAGGGAAACTAGAGACAGATCTCTCTCTTGAACATAGATGTAAAATTCTTAATATAATTTTATCAGATTTAACAAAAATGTATAAAAAGGATAATACATCTTGGCCAAGTGGGGTTTATTCCAGAAATGCAAGATTTGTTTAATAAAAAATCAGTTACTGTAATTCACCATACTAATAGACTAAAAATGAAAAACCATATAATCATCTCAATAGATGCAGAAAAAGCATTTGATAACGTTCAATATCCATTCATAAAGCTTCTCAGCAAAGAAGGCATAAAGGGAACTTCTCAGAACAGATAAGCCAGGCAGGGTGGTACATGCCTGTAGTCCCAGCTACTCAGGAGGCTGAGGCAGGAGGATATCTTGAGCCCAGGAGACCAGCCTGGGCAACATAGCAGGATCCCATCTCAAAAAATAATTGATAAAGGACAACTATGGAAAAAATATAGGTAACATTATACTAATCTGTGAAAGACAATGTTTTCCCCTGGGTTCAGAGACAGATATTCACTCTCACCACTTTTATTTAACAGTGTACTGGAGATTCTAGGCAATGTAATAATGGAACTAAAAGAAATAAAAGAATTCTAGAAAGGAAGGAAAAAGGAAGTATACCTTTATTTGCAAACAGCATGATTGTATCAAAAATCCTGAGGAATCGACAAAATGCTGTTGGGACTAATAAGTGATTTTAGTGAGTTTTCAGGATGCTAGTAGGATATGTTAAAAAACCAGTGGTATTTCTATACACTGGCAACAAACAATGGGTAATTAAAATAGAAATACCATTCATGATAGCTGTTAAAGCAAAATAAGCAGGAAGTTATTAGTCTGGAATTGTTTCTGTATCCAGAACTCTTACACAAGCAAACTGAAACTTAACCTAGAGGCATTCTTTGTAACTAATAAATTTTGAAAAGCCAAAGCCAAAACAGAGACCAAGCTTCCGCCAATCACAAATAGCACGTTAGCCCATTAGTTTTATAACTCGGAACTTTCCACCAGATCATACCCAAATAAGACAAATAGTGGCTGAGCATGGTGGCTCATGCCTATAATCCCAGCACTTTGGGAAGCCAAGGTAGGAGAGTCACTTGAGGCTAGGAGTTCGAGACCAGGTTCGTCAAGATGCTAAAACACTGTTCTATACAAACAAAACGAAACAAAACAAGACAAGACAAAACAAAATAAAAGCCTACCTGTAGCCACTTGAGTTATTTCTTTAATTCTGTGTTCAGACTATGAAGATCTACTGCTTGTAGTGCTAAAGTGCAGCTACATGAACCTCTTCCGATTTCAAGTGCTGCCCAATTCATTAATGCTTTAATGCTCAAATAAAATCTGTAACTTTTATTTTGTCTAAAGTTTTTCTTTTCTTCTTCTTCTTTTTTTTTTTTTTTTGAGACAGTATCTTGCTCTGTTGCCCAGGCTGGAGTGCAGTGGTGTGATCTCAACTCACTGCAGCCTCTACCTCCTGGGTTCGTTCAAGCGATTCTCCTGCCTCAGCCTCCCATGTAGCTGAGACTACAGGTGCGCACCACTACACCTGGCCAATTTTTGTATTTTTAGTAGAGATGGGGTTTCACGGTGTTAGCCAGGATGGTCTCAATCTCCTGACCTCGTGATCCATCTGCCTCAGCCTCCCAAAGTGCTGGGATTACAGGCGTGAGTCACTGCACCTAGCCAAGTTTTTAACATAGTCATATGGGATATGTAGGGATAAACCTGACAAAAGATGTACAAAACATCATTGTGAAGACCTAGATAAATGGAGAACTAT